CTAAGGAATCAGTATCACTTTTGTTTAAACTCTCTCAACAAACACTTCTGAATGAATTTTGTTCATGTCATTATTTGAGGTGGTTGCTGAAGTAGCAGAAAGCCATAAATTATTACTACTTGGTAATTCCTATTGGTTCAGTGCACACTGTGTCAGGCTGGGTTTAAGGCTCTTGAGGACCTTCCCTTCTTTGCTCTCTTCTGTTCTTGTGGTTTGTATTGCCACCTACATGACTCAGATTTCAGATTTTCTTTCTCCCACTTCCCTTTGTTGTCTTGGTAATTTTAACTCAGTGTTCTCTGCTGTGTTTACCTACATTTCTGCTGGCATCCTCCAGATCAGCCCATCGGTCAATTCCTGTCATTTAACGGAACCATTCTTTGTCATCTCACTGTCTCCCTAGTGTTTTAGGTACATGATTTAGCATTGATTTGTGGCTGCCTTATTCCCACACCTGTGCTCGGCAACCTCCAAGTCTCTCAGGTCCCCTCTATCTGCACTCAAAGAAATGCTGCCTGTTTTGAATGGTCCAGTTTTAAATGACATCCATCGGCTCTGGTTATTGAGGATGAGGAGTTTGGTGTTCTTATTCTACCTCCCTCCTTTTCCCCTTTGTTTTCCTAGTTTTTGCTGGCTGTGGCTTTTCAGCATTGTCAGGGCACTTGACATTGACATTCTGTTGTCCTACCACTAAGTAGATTCGGGGCTCACTGCCCGCCTTGCTGCCATAGTTTTTCCAGTCATCCCTTGGTTGGAGAAGTGTTCCTTTTGTGGGTTTCTCAAGGAAGATTCATGGAACAATATTACCCTTGACTGACAACCAACTGGGTATAAAAATCCTCAGTCACACTTTCTCTCCTTGGGAATTTTGTAAAGTATTATTCCTTTTTCTTCTAGTATTGGATTTTACTGTGGAAATTGTCAAGATTTTGTCCCTCTTTTAAGTGACTTGATCTTATTGCCTGGTTGCAGAAATCCAGAAATCTCCCCTCCAGGTCTGTCTTGGCACTGACTGCTCTGGGTCAGTTTTCTCTGGGATACAATGTTCCCTTTTAGTATATAGATCCTCTTTTATGTCAGAAACATCTTGAATTATATCTTTATGTAGTCTTGAGGGACCAATTTTTGCATAGTTCTGTTGCAGTTTTCTTTTATGCATATGTTCTATCTCCTCTGCTGTCTCCTGAACTCAGATTTCTCTTTATTCCTTTTAACTCTTATTTCATTTCACTTGCCTTTTATCATTTCTGCCCTTTATGGTCTCCCCTTTCGGAGAAGAGGGTCCCTTTGCCCCCTTGTTCCTTCTGCTTGCATCTTCACCCCTGTGCATTTTTCCTGCTACTTCCTGCCATAGCTTCCTGGTGTATGTCTTCTCTCCTTGTTGTCTCCCTGCCTCACCCATAAGCTCCCTCACTTCTGTTTTGAGCTCTTGCTTCATAGTTTTCTTTTTTTAATTTTGCAAGATACTTACTACAGTTTTATCTGATCCAAGGCAGCATTTTTCCAGTCTGGAATCTTAGTCTGCTGTTTGGTTTTCCAATTTCTTTCCTCATTTTTTTCTTGTATCTTTAGGTAGATCCTGTACAGAATTCATTTTTATAGCCTCCTAGTTTTGTTGAAAATGAATTTGTATTTTTTTTTGTTTCTCATTTTTGTACTTAGGACACATTTTGAATAGCATTTCAAAATTATGACTTCATGGTGCAGTGTTCAAATCAGAAGTCTTAACTGACATTTTCTGTGACCAACCACTAGTCCCCCTTATATCAGGCCTTTTATGACACCTTCTCCACGAAGCCTCCACCAGCACACTGTCATGCATCTGCTATGCTGCTTGGGCTTACGAAAAGCCTTTCATTCATTCAGTATGTCTGCTCCTCAGTGGGCATGCTCTAAGCCTTGGGAATAAAGCATGCAAATAGTTAAGTACATTCATGTTTCTGTGCAACCCAGAGTTTTCCAGAACTCTTCATCTTGCAAACTAAAGCACTGCTCCTCAGTGGGCATTGCTCTAAGCCTTGGGACTAAAGCACACACCAAAGGCAAGTCTTAAAATGATTCCATATGGACTAGGAGTAAGGGATGAACTGGGTGGAGGACGCAGCTTCGAATTTTGAGAAAGTATGGTAGAGAGGGTGGGTGCAGTATGACCTCTAGAGTCAGACAGACCTAGATTCAGTGCTCAGTTCTGCTGCTGGTATATGTGACATTGAGATAGTTCATTGACCTTTCCGTGTATCAGTTTTCTCATATATAAAATGAAGATTACCTACCTCAGAAAGATGCTATAAAATTAAAATAAGTTACATATAAAATGCTCAGCACATATACAGGCTCAAGAAGCCCACTGCCTCCTGCTGTGAGGAAGGGATTCACTGAGTACTAGGAGTGCTGGTGGAGAGACCTGTTGTCTTTCAACGGTGGTAAAATGTACATGGCAAAGTTTACCTTCCTCATTTTTAAGTGTGCAGTTGAGTAGTTAAGTCCATTCACGTCTCTGTGCAACCCGGAGTTCTCCAGAACTCCTCATCTCACAAAACTGAAACTCTAAACTCATTAAACAGCCGCTCCCCATTCCCTCCTCCCCTCAGCTCTTGGCACCCCTCGTTCTGCTTTCTGCACCTGTGAGTGACTACTCGAGGGACCTCACATGAGTGGAATCATACCGTTTTTGCCCTTTCATGTCTGGCTCATTGCACTTAGCATGATGTCTTCAAGGTTCATCCATGCAGTAGCATGTGTCAGAATTCAGAATTTTCTTCCTTTTAAATGCTGAATAATATTCCATTGCATGTACAGTTGATCCTTGAACAACCCAGGTTTAAACTTTGTGGGTCCACTACACACAGATTTTCTTCAATAAATATATTGGAAATTTTTTTGGAGATTTGCAACAACTTGAAAAAACATATTCTTTTCTCCAGCCTGTTCACTGTAAGAATATAGTGCGCATAACAAAATGTGGGTTAATCAACTGTTTATGTTATGGCAAGGCTCCTGGTTAACAGTGGGCTATTAGTAGTTAAGTGTTTGGGGTAGTTAAGTAGTTAAGTTACACACGAATTTTTGAAGTGCCCAAACCCCTGTGCTATTTCAGGGGAAACTGTAACTACCGCGTTTTGTTTATCCGTTCATCCGCTGATGGATGCTGGCTGTTGTGTCCACCTTTTGGCTATTGTGAATACTGCTGCTGTGGAGATGGGTGTGCACATGTCTCTGTGAATCCTTGTTTTCAGTTCTTTGGGGTATATCCACAGCAGTGGAACTGTTGGATTATACGGATTTGACTTTAATTTTTTTGAGAAACCACCTTAATGTTTTCAGAGGTCTATTTCTTGATGGGGAAGTATAAACAGTACAGTTCCCCAGGGAATAATTTTAAGACCAGTCTTCTTTAACATTTTGTAAGTTATCTAAATATGAGAATTTCACTATTATATCTCCCTTTACATATAGATAATGAAATAATTCATAATATATAAAATTTAAGAATGTTTATGAAAGTGTATATATAGACAGAACCATGATTAATAAGATTCAGTGTAGACAAATATACTTTATTTGTTTTTTTTTTTTTTTACTTTATTTGTATTTGAATGTATCCTTTACTACACACTCCCCTGGAGGTCGGAAGAAATACCCTTGTTAATTCCTTCCCTCTACTTACTATGAGAACTTCGTGTGTTAGAATGCACGTGCACAGACACAGGGACAGACAGGAGGTCATCCAGCCCCAAGCGGCGGTAGTGCCGGGTTGAGAGACCTGGCTTTAGGCCCAGACCACCTTCTCTGCATTGTCTCCAGCCTCTCTTTTGCCTGAACTTGCCATTCCAGCCAGAGTGCGGTGCTCCCCGTACCGTACACCCGCAAGACTGCTTCATCCAGTGCCTTTCACCTGCAGTCCGCCCTGCCTCTCTGATGTCAGAGCACACTTCCGTCCTCCCTCGCGGTCTGTGAAATGACCTCTGGTCTCTCTATCCGCTGCTGGCTTCCTTCTCTGGCCACCTATAGGACTGTTCCACTAATATGGCACTTACGAGTTAACAGGTAACAACACAAGGTGGTGCATTTCTTTCCGACTTGGCTGAGAGCACCTTGCCGGTCATGCTGATATGACTGGATCTGATGAAGTACCATCCCTTACACCCCAGTGGGCGCCTCAGACGCCACCCACTTGGGGCTCTCCATGCAGCCTTCCGTGGTGCATTAGCAGCCACTTAACTGTCAGGGCGGTCGGTGCGCCGGGATGTGGCTCTGTTTGGGGAGCAGTTGGCTAGATGGAACCTGAGCCCCCCCCAGTGTGAGCCTCATGCCCAGAAGGTATTCATGCTGAGCCTGGCTTCATGATTATCGAGGCTATGAGAGACGGGTAGGACGGGGGCTAAGGAGAGGCCGTGGTGCCTGCATCCGAGCACACAGTGGAGGAGCTATGTCAGGGAGACTGGGAGACATCTCAGTTCACACGGATATGCTCTGGGGTCGGGGTGGTCCTGGTGTAGTGCCAGTCAGGGTGGGTGATGACGGGACTGGCGCTGGAAGCCCTCAATATGGATTCAGAACCCAGTGTGTGCCGGGCCTCAGCCGGGGCTCACACAAGGCACCTCCTTTGGTCCTACCTCAGTCCCAGAAGGACACCGAAGCACCGAGAGGGTAATTTGCCCAGGGTCACCCAGCGAACGAAGAGCAGAGCTGAGATTTAAATAAGGTCGGTCTGACTTCAAAGACTGTGCTCTCAGCCACCAACTCCCCACCTTAAACAGGTTAGAAGGAGCTACCGGCGCTCGTGGGAGAGATCCGTGTTACAACATGCCCACGCGTGGGGACACCCGGTGGTCTCACGTGAGAGTGGGTGGTCCAGGGGGCTGAGGTCCACTGGGAATCAGGAGCAGGTGTCGGGGCGGCCTGCGTGGCTGCTGCAGGCATGCCCACGAGGATTCCTTCTGGGCCGCTCCGGACAGCAGAGAGAGCTCTAGCTCTCCCTGCTTCTGCTTCCCCTCCAGGTACACTACATCCTCCAGGAGGTGGTGATGGGGGGGATGGTGCTGGAAACGAACATGAACGAAATCGTGGCTCAGATTGAAGCTCAGAGCAGGCTGGAGAGATCTGAGGTGAGTCACGGCAATGCTTTTGCCCCCGGCTGGTGAGAGAAGGCCTGGGCAGAAGGAGGAATGGATACATGTATTGATTTGTGTTGCAGTGGAACCTTAGGAGTGTTTAGACACATCTTATTTCTTCCTTGAATCCATCAAAACTCAATGATTTGAAGGCTGTCCCTGAAAATTAAGCAGGTAAGCATGAGGCGGAAAGTGTGAATGGAAAAGCCAGAGGGCACAGGAAAGGAAACAGCTTCTGGCCTGGTGTTAGGGCCCTTGTTTGTGGTTTGTGATTCCTCCTTTCGCCAAAGCCCCTGGAGGCACCCTGAAGCCCTTTCTCAGATTCCAGTGTGGTTTCCTAGTTTGTGTGCTGTGTGAGTCTCATCCCCCAGCAGCCATTTCTTATGTCTTTCAGACCTCAAGAGTTGCCAATTTCCTTATTTCCAGTTAGCCTTATAAAAAGCTACAGGCTTGGGCTGGGTTTGAAAATAACATGCCCCAGCCCACCCCCACATAGTGCCAGGCTGGAGACAGTGGCTCACAGGAAATTTGATCCCATCCCCTTGAGCTTTCCATCGCCTTCGTCAGCCTTCCCAGAGAGTCGAGGTTACAGGCACACACCTTCCCACGTTGCAGAAAGAGCAGAACAAATTACTCTTTAACTATCTGAGTGTCTTGAGTGTCTTCTTTGCTTTGTGTGATGAATTTGATCTTGCCAAACCAGGACTACTTCTGTGAGGACTGGCAGCCCTGCGGAAGAAGCTTTTCCACACCACAGCTATTATGGCAGCTCTGGTTCTTTTAGAATGTGGGTTGGGAAGCTTCCAGGAATAGTGAGTGAGTCAGAGGCAAGGGGTTTGGTAACCAGGAGCAATGGAGCCTTGCTGGGCGAGGGGGAGTTGGAGTCAGTGTCCTGAACACAGTCGTGAGGAGGAGAGCTTTCGAGAGTCTTGGCTACTTCCCCACTTCTCTGCACACTGTGGGTGATCCTGGACAGGGAGGGCTCACCGAGACCCCTTGCCCTCTGGGTTCTGTTGCCAGACCTTCCGTGTCTGTGCGTGACTCCACCTCCTGTGTGTCCTTGCTCCTGTCTTGTTACCACATGACATTTCCAGAGCCAGTTCTTTCCCATCTCACATAATTAGCGGGCAAGCGGTTGCCCTAGGCTACGACATTCCTTTTGCTTTTAAGAATTTTCCTGTGACTGCACTTTTCTAGTGGAGTCTGCAGTCTCTTGAGGGGCGGGCTTTGTTTTGTTGTGTTTCGTAACCTGATGAGTGCCCCAATGCTGAATATGGCCTGGCTAAGCCAGTTCGTATGATTTCAGCAAGCATTTACGGAGTCCCTGCTGTTGCCAGGCTCTCTTTGATGCTGGGGCTATAAAACTGCGTAAGCCACAGCCCCACGTTAAGGAGCGTGGAGTTTGGGTCCGTGTGCCATAGTCCCCAGCTAACCTAAAGGTTGTTCTGTTGGACACCTTTGAGGAATAAGGAGGAAAAATAAAAACTTGCATTGTGTGTGTTCAGTTTGGACATTTTCCAGGTCTCCTTCAGCTGCCTTTTTTAAGCATTAGTAGTTGACACCAAGTGTGTCTCATACCACCTCTCATTCTCCTCAGGGTGGCCTCTCAGCAGCCCCCGCCCGGGCCGTGTCTGCTGTGAAAAACATCAACCTGCCAGAGATCCCTCGGAACATCAACATTGGAGATCTCAACATCAAAGTCCCCAACCTGTCCCAGTTTGTTTGAGGGTTGAAGACTGGTCTGAACTGGAGTCCTTGAAACAAGCGAAGTCAAGCCAGTCCCGCAGCAGAGCCCACCCTGAGCCTTAGAGCCCAGCCTCGGGCCTGCCCCTCGTGTTGTGGGTGGGGAAGGGAGTCCTCAGTTCTCACATGTGCAGCCTTGCTGGCCTCTGATACACGTGGCCCCTGCAGATGTGCGGGGACCCTGGCTGCTTTGGGAAGTGGGGGCGGTCAGCGCACCCCGCCACTCACACCCTTTACCTACCGCACACAGCCACTCCCAGGAACTGGGGACTGTGTTGAGAGGCCTACCTGCTTCCCAGAACCCCACCACCAGCGCTTCTCTGACTGGAGTCTTCATCCTGAGCGCCCTGAGGTTTCTGTCCTGCAGCATTTCCTGCTGGCAAGGTGTCAGAGCAGGAAAGGCCAGCCCTTCAGATTTGGGGGTGTGAATGGCCGGCAAGGGGAGGTGTTTAGGAGAGCCAGAGTTGCCTATTGGCTCTGCTAGGGTTGTCGTACCCAGAATCCCTCTGTGTAGTCAGGCTTTCTCATGATCGCCTGCAGGACATATTTCCCCTGCTGCCGAGTCATAGTTCTGCTCTCACAGATGTTTCTGCGTAGGACACAGTCCAAGTCGTGAGCCTGGCACGTGGTTCTGCTAACAGAGCACCCCCACATGGCTATCTCTCCAGCACAGCCAAAGGGTCCCCCACAAACTGGGGAAAAGGCGCTGTGTCTGTAGAAGGTAAAGCTGACAACATGTAGAACATCTCGGAATTACTGCTCTTAACCAGGTTTAAATACACTCTTTCACGGGGAGTAAACAGTCACTTGCTGTGTTCTGAGTGATGAGTCTCCTCGGTCCAGGAAACCCACTGCTGCCCCGCTTCTGGTGAGAAGCCCGAGCTGTGATCGCCTGCTCTGGCCCCCACACGGGGAAGGCTGGGGATGTGGAAAGCCAGCGGAGGCCACGGCAGTGCAGCACTTTCTCCCAGGGTGAGGGGTTCCCCACCCCCACCCCCAGCTCTGCTTATGGGCCTTGTTCCCCCTCAGGTGACATTCTCCCAGAGCTGGCTTAGGGACCTGTGTTTACAGGTGTGAGAAGAATCCTTCCTGTGGTCAGGTTAGAGCTGAAAAAAGCCCCGGTGCTGCCGGGAGGCCAGGTCCCCGGTATAGGGTGGGGCTGCCTTGAGACAAGGGGGCTCACTGCGCCGTCATGGTGAAGTGCCCCAGCCCGGGGACCGTGTGCCTGCTGGCCAGGGGCCCAGATCGTTGCCTCAGGCCTGCTGCTGTCGCAGAGCCCACCTGAGGCGCTGCCCACCAGGACTGCGGACAGGACTGCATCTCTCCTCTCTGAAAGTGCTTCCTGTGCCCGGGGCCCACCGTGCCCTGCGGCCTCCTGTGCTCACTCTGTAGACCCTCTGGTAAGCGCAGGGATGGGCAGTGTTGGCCAGAAGGGAGGCTCTTACATGCTGGAAGAGGATATGTTGGTGAATATATCTCATCTCAGAACCTCTGCTACCATTCTTTTGAAGGACTTAATTTTTGTTTTACAGATATTTCAGCATGTTTACATCCCTTCCTCTCACATTTGCCAAATGTGAGGTAGGAACAAAGGAAGGGAATCGATGTCTATTTTGCACCTGCTGTACGGTGGCTTGCGCAGGATCCTCCCACAGGCCTTAACGGCAGACACTGTCGTCTCTGTTTTGCAAGTGAACAAAGCAAGACTCAGAGAGGTTGAATGACCTGCTTCAGGTCACGCTGGGCTAAGAACTGAGACTGTTTGCCTGCGTAACTCCAAAATCCTTTTTTTTTCCTCTGCTCAAGGTGGCATCTCCCAATTTTGTCTTCTTCTTATAGATAAGGAAGCTGAGTCGCAAAGGGGTTGAGTAGCTTCCCATAAACCAATAAAAACAGACTTCCTTTTCTAAGGTAGCCAGTGACAGCATCATAGACTGAGAGCCGGAGGGTCCTCTTAGGCTTTTGTTGAACTGATGATGAGGCAAAAGCCCAGAGTGTTAAGGGCTGAGGGTCAGAAAGTTAGAAGCCATTTTTCTTGAGTTTATTTTGTGGTTTCATGCATTGCTGCAGGACAGCCCGGTGTCCTGAATTTTTTGGGATAGCCTTCGAGTATTTTGCCTGTCGGAAACCATTGTTCCCCAAACTGTCGACTGGTCCTGTAGACTCCCAATAACATCCCTCACGCTGCCTCTGAAAATGGCATAAAGCTTCAGCCTGGTTTTTTTAGAAAACTTGATCCCTTTGGACAAGCCGTAGTAATTCTTCATTCATTACCGGAGGTTTGCCTGCAGATCAGCTAGCTTTCTTGCCTATCAGCAAAACCAACGAATTTCCTATTAGAAAAAAAGGAAATACTGACCTTTTTTTTGGGAGAGGGATACAGATATTGCTGCTGAGAAATATCAGTTATGAAAATAGTGGCCAGGTTGGAATTTGGCAGTCCTTGGCCCCGAATGGTTTGCGCTGAGGATTTCCTAAAGTGATACTGGACTCTGGGTCTTCAGTACTAACTGCCACTAAATAAAACTAAAATTCTTGCATTATGCAACTTCTAAGTGCCTGGTGAATGCCAGGCTCAGTTCTAGGCACTGAAGACAGACAGAAACGAGGCTTGGCTTCCTGCTCTCTCTCCTGGGGACTCGGAGTGCACGGGCTGCACTTGCTGGCACGCTGGGTTGTGCAGACCACTCGGTGATTCTGTGTTACGTAGAGCATTTGAAGACCAATAGCCTGTTTCCCACCCCCAGCCGACCCCACACAGCCTTAGTTCAAGCGGCTACAGCAGGCATACCATAGACTGGGGGCTTAGACAACAAGCGTTCCTCACAGTTCGGCATGCTGATCAAGGTCGAGGTGCCGGCAGATATGGTTTCTAGTGAGGACCTGCTTCCTGTTTCATAGGCAGCCATCTTTTTGCTGTATCTTCACATGGCACAAAAGGAAGCCCTGGGCTCTTCATCCCCTTATCAGGGTGCTAATTCCATCCTGGGGGCTCTACCCCCATGGCTTCATCCAACCTAATTACATCCCAAAGGCTCTGACTCCAAATACCATCACGTTGGTTTTGGGGTTTAGGCTTTGACATATGAACTGGGGGGGCTCAAACATTCAGCCCACACAGCCCACCTAGTCACCCACCTTGCCTCTGGGCCTGGTCATGGCCCTGTGCTCCTCTCAGTAAGGATTAAGTCAGGGCGTCTTGAGCCTTCTCAAGTCCCTGTCACTCAGGCCTCTGCCATGTGCAGAGCCAGCCTTCCCTCCCCACTGCCTCCCCTTCCGTGGAGCCACCCCCGTGAAGCCCTCTGTAGCCCCAGCTTTACCGGGAAAGAAACCAGGGGGATATGGCTTAAACTTGGCTGCTGGCCACATCCTGTCTTGTCGTCTAGTCCTTAGTATGGACTAGTAGGGATTTCCTCAGTATGACCACCCCGGAGGCAGCGGCGATCAGCGCCTGGAGAGAAACATGGGGCATGAGTAGCCAAGACGGAGGGTCTCCTTCCGTATGAGAGACTCGGGGCTGTTGGCTCCTAGCAAACTCCCGGTCTGCAGCCCCCAGGACCTGCCCTGCCTCTGAGGGCGCTTATCTCGCTGTGGTCTTTGTTGGCCAGCGTCCACACACACTCGTACACCAGCACGCAGTCGGGGCTCGCGGGTCGCCAAATGGCTGTCCTCATGTTAAGACTTGGCCCCTTCGGGAAGTTCAGCATCCGCAGCGTTCTGGCATGTGGCAGACAGGCCCTTTAAATAGTTGCATGAAAATGATTCATTTTTTCTGAAAGACTTCATAATCCCTATTTATTTCTGTAATTCCTGTGAATTAATGTTTTAAAAAGGACATACATTCATATACAGCTCAAAACTAAGATAACAAAAGGCTGTTCAGCCACATTCCCAACCCTTGTTCCCGCAAACCATGGAGCTGCACCATCTCTGGTAGCAACAAGCACTTCAATTTGCCAGTTGAAAATATAAAGAAACAAAGCCCTGGATGTTTATTACCAGAACAGAGTGTATCTTCCTGAAAGGGTCATGTTCCCTTTGACCTTGGTGGTTGACCTCAGCCTACTGCACCCATGCCATGTGTAGGGAGGGGGGCCTCCTAGACCACCTGTCCCTGTGGCACCCTGCCGTGCTGCCTGTTGGGTTGTAGCTGTCCGCTGGATGTGTGCCCCTCCCAGGCGGGGTTAGTCTCCCATTCAGGGCTGTACCCCAGCTGCTATGAGCACTGCCCAGTGCGTGCTGCTCAATAAAGGACAAGTGAATGGCTGAAGCAAACGGTTCCTTCTTACAGTAGCTTACAGCCTGGCTCTCCAGGGCTCTGTGCTCAGGACTTGGGGAAGGAGAGCGCTGGCTGCGGCAGGAGGATCAGGTGAGGGCCTGTGGAGGGTAAGGGGGAGGAGAGAGGCAGCCGAGGGCGCGCCCGAGTGACCGGAGGCCCTTCGAGGACGCTACCCGAGAGGAGAAGGTGGTTTGGAAGGAGAAGGCTCCAGAATTGGGGTGTGGCCACGTTAGGTAGGAGTTGCCTGAGAGTATCCGGGCGCAGATGTCCGCCAGCCAGCCGGGAACCTGGAGTGGGCAGGAAAGGTAGTGTCCATCCCTCAGAGATGGTGGTCGAAGTTGGGAGGCAGGTGGTACAGCAAAGGGATGAGAGGGTTGGGGGCACAGCCTGTGGCGGGGGACGTAGAGGAGTGTCTAGACAGTGGGGTGACTTCATGTCAAGGGAAGCCTTTCAACGGGAAGGGGCCCCTGCTGAGAGTCCAAGGGGCTGGGGACTAAGGAAAAGGCCTCTTCTGGGCCTGCAGGTGCCCCCATCCTGTGCCCTGAGGGAGGGGCAAAATGAGGGCACTTTGAAGGGGGGGTCTGGCCAAGTAGTGGGGCAGATCCAAGCCACAGGGTGGTCACGTCAGTGTGGGTTGGGCGGCGGCATCTGTAAAGGGGCACCGGTGCCTCCTGCCCCAGGGGATGGTCGTGAGGTTAGGGACAGAAGGGGTCCAGCAGCACTGGCTGCTGTCCTCACGGGGGCTTGTGCAGATGCAGTGGAAGCTGCAGGAGACGCAGTAAGCCGGAAGGAGTGTGGTGCCCAAGCCCTGGCATGGGGGAGGGGACCAAGGCCAGCCTCCGTAGAGTGCGGTGGGGACAGTGGCTGCTGACCTGGCTCAGCAGGGGTCCCGGGCCCATATCTAGAGGCCACCTTGGAATAAAGCTGTAGGGGAAGTGGGAGTCTGGTAAGGGAAGCTTCCCTCACAGTGAGTTTGAAGACAGAAGAGCAAACATGGTTGGTAGGACCAGAAGTATGGGGAACACGGCCTGGAAGTCCCTTTCCCTGAAGTCAGCGGGGAAGCCAAGAGGTCCCTCAGGCAGTAGAAGGAGTCAGTGTTTGGCCAGGACTGGGTGAGGGCCTCTGGCCAAGCAGGCCTGGATGAGTTAGGGTCCTGGAGGGGCTCCACACTTCCCATGAGCAATGGGATCTTTGGGCCTTGTCAAGAGCAAACCTTATATTTTTGTTCAACTCTTGACGTCAGCCTGGTCTCCAGGGAGTGCTTGGGAATAAGGATGCCGTCCGCTGCCTCCTAGGACTGGGCCACTCCTTCCAGAGGGTAGGTTGAAGGTTTCTGCTGCACTGATGAGAATGGAAACCCGTGGGATTAAGCCACAGCCAAAATGATATAAAGGAGGTGCAGGTACATTTCTCAGGCTGGTGGTCTATTGGTCCCCGGTGATATTCAAAATACTTAGCTACCAGCATGACTCAGGCACTGATCATTCAGCCCAGAAGTACCAGGTGGGGGGTGGAGGTGTCCCTGGGGGGGTGGGGTCCATCTGCCCAGGCTGAGGCTGCTCCTACTAGGTTGCTGGACTGGGTGCTTTTCCTGCTGGAATACCCCTCCTGAGCTCCCTGCCTCTACTTACCCTTCACCAGCTGGACCCCACCAGGGCTCCAGGCAGTGCCAGCTAACCCACCAGGTGTTTAAAGTGCATGATGATGTTACGGGATTGGGAGGAAATCCCTGGGTCCAAAATCTGTAGCAAACTTGGACATGTCACAGTGACACTACCTGGCAGTGCACGGCGCCTGCGCACATTGACAGCCCTCAGCGGGCACCCGCCACCAGCCCTCCCTGAGCCGCAGTGTTTGGGGCTCCAACCTTTTCCTGTCAGACCACCCCACTGCCAGCCCTGGCCTGGCCCTGCTGAGTGGCTCTGGGCTCCTTTGTGTCCTCACAGGTGGCCCCTTTGCTCTGAGCCAAATGTCCCTGGCTTGGTCCTTGATTCAGGCCTCAGATGCCCCAGCCTCTCTGTTCTCCCCCATTCCAAGCCCCAAGCTTAAGCCCTCTCCCGGGGACCCCACTGCCCACCAGCCCCAGATCCTGTTTGACAGCCATACTGGAGCCCACGTCTCACCACCATGTCCCCCCACCCTGACCCCCTGCCTAGACACCACCTCAGCTCCAAACTACCTCTGCCTCCCCGCGTGTCCCCTTCCAGCCTCATTCATCACTCAGCAGCCAGAGTGAACCTTCTGAAGCGTCAATCAGACCACAACACTGCCCTGTAGTCTTTGAAACCTATCAAAGGCTTCCCACCAGCCTCTGAACGAAACACGGGGCCCTGCGTAGCTGACCCCTGCCTGCCTCCCTGTCCTCATCTCCTGCTGACCCTAGCTTCCTCCCTTCCAGCCACACTGGCCTTTGCGGTTCCTCGAACACGCCGGGCTCACAGCCGCCACCAGCCTTTGCTGTCTCCTCTGCTGGCTGCAGGTTTCCTCACGCCTCACTTCAGGGCAGCCCTGCTCAGACGCCACCTTCAGAGGACCTCCCCATGCTACCTCCCCAGTCACTCCCTGCCCCTCACCTGGCCCCGCTGCATCCTACCGTGCTGGCGATGCAGTGTCACCTCTGGTCTTTCACTGTTTGGGCCATTGTGTTGCTGCTGCGTCTCACAGTGCCTGACCCCCTTTAACTGTCAGTAAGTATGTGATGATTCAGTGAGCCGGTGAATGCACACTCATTGGTTCCCTCTCAACGTGCTGGAGCTCCACACTCCAGGCTTGAAGGCAGGAAGCTGTGGGGTGGGGGTCACAGGCCTGGCTTGTTAATTCACTGTGACCCTGAATGAGTCATTTAGCTGCCTACTTCTAGTTGTAGTAAGTGTGTGGGAAAGCACTTACCCTATGGGCCTGAATGGGGTATCAACTTGGTCTGAATCCTGACTCTGCCATCTGCCAGCTGTGTGACCTTGGGTAACATACTTGACCTCTCTGTGCTTCCACTTCCTTACCTGTGAAATGGGAGTAAAATAGCTCCCTTCTATCAAAATAATCCCTTTTTATCAGGATTCTTGGTGGCAAACAATGAAACAAATCCAGAAGCTTACTGAAGGGCTATAAGAAGCTTTCATAGGCTCAAAGGGAAGGTGGAAAGCCCCAAACCAAGCTGATGAGGGCACATGGAAAAGAAATCCTCTGGAACATGCCACCAGCACTACCACCCTGGACCCCGAGGCCCCAGACCCTGCTGACCGGGAAGCTCGAGTCCAGGAGCCGGGACGGGAAGCAGAGGAGGCTGGCGCCGGAGTCCCCCGGCGGGGAGCCTGCCCCGGGAGGAAGAGCAGCAGAGCATTGCTGCGAGGATTACAGGTTAATCCAGGACCCTCACACGTGGCTGGTGGGAAAGCTGGGCAAGTGTCTGGTGGAATCCGCTGGCATTAGCATGTTTATCCCATGACTCAGTGATGGTAAACGAGTGTGCACGTCCTCCAGATGACACAGACAAACATGCTAATAGCAGCACTCTGCGTCATGGCCGAACACAGCGGTAACCAAACAGGCACCAACAATGGACTGAGTCGGCATAAATCAGTAGGTCTCCTGGAATATGACACAGCCATGAGAGGGCAAGCAGCGGCTGCACGCAGCAATGGAGGTACGTTTAACAAACAACACTGGGTGTAAGAAGCCAGGCATGAAACGCTGTCAACCGTATGATTTCACCTGTTGGCACCTCACACACAGGCCAGGTGAGCTACAGTACTGGAAGCTGAGTTAGTGTTCTCCCAGCAGGCCAGAGACGGCGGGGCGGGGTGGCCTCCTCGGGTGCTGGGGGAGCTCCCTTTGTTGATCTGGGTGCAGGCTTCACTTGCGTGTTCACTTTGGGGAGATTCACTTAGTTCTTCGCGTAAGATTGTGTGTTTTTCTCAAGGTTTATTAGATTTTAATAAAACATAACATATGGGTTTAAGGAAAAAAAAGAATCAGTCCATGGGGAGCACTTGTGATAGCACCCGCACAAGGTATGACCCAAGCAAATGCTAGGTAGTGGTGACTATTGTTCTCTTCACCTGCTAGTTTCGCTCCCAGCCGCCAGGCTCCTCCGCCATCCTCCGTGGGGGGAAGATGTCATGTGTCCTCAGCCCTCAAATCCATACAGTAGACAGCGCCGTGCTCCGGCACAGGGGTCCTGAGCTGGTCTGTGGGGGGCGGGGGAAGCCCCTCGAGCATCATGGAATTGGCCAGGTCCCCCATGCCAAGGCCAGGAGGCCAGAGGGGTAAGAGATTGGTGGAGAAGGGCTTGCAAGGCGCTGGAGCTGGGGTGGAGACTACGAGGCCAGGAGTGGGGTGGAGCCTGTACTGAGGACGCAGGGAGCAGGGAGGGGTCTATGTGTGGGGGGAGCATGGCCGGGGCTGGTTACGTGTGTGATGTGACAGCCTAGCTCTAGTACAGAGAATGGATGAAAGGGGAGGAAAATAACCCCAGGAGTCCTTTGGTGGTGGCCCAGACCAAGTCAGGGCAGGACTGTGGAGATGGAGAGAAGTGGAGGTTCATGGGACATTCTGGGTCAGAACTGACAGAGCTTGGGGGCCATTATCTGGCACGGAGCAGGGTGAGGAGGGGTGAGGCAGCCCAGCCCAGGGTGGTGGCTCCTGGGACGTCAGGCTGCATCATGTGTGTGGCGCCTTTGTATGACCTCCAGCTCATAGATGGGGTTGAGCAATAACAAAAATGATTATAGTGGAAGCAGCCGTGGTGGGCATTATTACAGTTCAAAATATCCACTGCTTCTCTCTGAGGGAGCAAGACACTTCCCCACCTTTGACATCAGGCTTGGCCACCTGACCCGCTTCGGTGAATGGCCTGAGCATTAGTGAGGTGTGCCACTTCTAAGCAGGAACTTCAGGAGTCCTGGCCAGGCACTGCCGTGTTCACTTTTATCTCTGCCAGGAGACACCAGCGTCCCAGATAAGGGCTGCTCCTTCACCTGAGCTTTGGAGTGGAGCTGACTTGGTGCAGAGCTGCCGTCACCCCACGAAGGGCATTAATCTGAGCAAGATGTGAATCTCATTGTAAGCTGCTAAGACTTAGGGGCACTTTGTTACTGTAGCATCACGTAGCCTCAGTGGGCTGCTGCAGGCGGCCCCAGCCAGTCCTGGACCTGGACTGCGTGGCGTGCTCCGTACCAGGCCCTGTGCATTTAATCCTGTACTACCCTGTGAGTGAAAGCAGCCAGAGAAAAAGCACATGCCATTTGGGTGATTCTATTTGTATAAAATTCTAGAAAATGTAAACTGATCTGTAGGGACAGAGAGCAGGTTGGTGGCTCCTGGGGACAGGGTAAGGGAGAGGAGGAGTGAGAGGGAGGGGTCAAATCATACAGAGGGGCGCGTGGGAATCTGAGGGGTGGTGGATATGTTCATAATCCTCATTGTGGAGATGTTGTCAAGAATATATACATGTCAGAACTTGTACACTTTGAATGATTGGGTGTCAAGTATATAAGTATATGTCAGTAAAACTGTTTAAAGAAAACCTAACTCTGTTATACTAGAATTCTAGTAAAATTCTTATCTCTCTTTTGCAGATGAGTAAAGTGAGGATCCTTGAGACTGAGTTATTTGCTGATGGTCACACCGCTATTCGAGGTCGGATCTGGAATCTGAGCCCCGTGTACCTGAGTCCAAACCCTGGGCCTTTTAACCTTTAAGGAATTTGAATGGCAGGCAGGGGAAGGGTCCCCAGGTCAGCGTGGTGTTCCTCAAGAGCTCCTTGGGGTGAAGAGGAGGTGGGTGGACCCCAGCAGCCCCCCCATCTCCTGGGAGAGGGGGCACCACATGGCATGGCAGCAGAGGGGGTCTAGAACCAGTTTGCACCAGCTGGAGAGAGCCAAGGGTTAAAATTACGGGAATTGTGCAAATCAGTTGCTAAACATAGCTATTATTAAAGATTGAAGTACATGTGCTTACAATTAAATGAAATATATTACAAACAAAGGTAACACTCAGAACTGTGGCTTCCTAACTCGGTTCCCACATCTGCTTGCTGTTTGTGCTCCTGACTCCTGCACGTGACGGTCCGTGGCAGAGGCGCCCTGGGGTGCTGCGCCGCCAGCCCGGCCTCCCCACTTCGCCTCCTTTGGTAGCCCGAACTCCATGTGGAGGGATTATTTACACCATGGAGATCAGAAAATGCTAAATCAGCCGCTCCCACCCCTGTTAAACATTTGACCCCTGCATCACCGATCCTCACGATCTGGCCACCCACAGAGGAGGCAGGGGCCGGAGGGAAGGTCCAGCCAGAGGCAGAGCCCAGGGCTGCCGGTAATAACCACGAAGGGCTGCACCCTTGAGCCCTGTGGCCTAACAAGCTTTGTGTGCCCCTCATCGAATCCCCACCCCAACCCTGTGAGGCAAAGGTCATCACTATCTGCAGATGAGGAAACTGAGGCACAGAGAAGCTCCTTGCCCAGAGTCACTTAGCTAATAATCATCACAGCCAGGACATAAAGCCTGACTCTTAATGGTCCCCGTCCACTCTCCACCCCCAGTTGGACAGGGGGGTCTAGGCTTAACCCTTTCCTGAACCCACCAGCCAGATGTAGGCCCCAGGTCCCCCAGAAGCCTGGAGTGGACTTCTGTGACCATCAGCCCGTGGTCCCACTTCTCTGGATGGCCAGTCTTGGGGCCATGTTTGTGCAGGTCTGAGTACCAGGAAGAGGACCCACCTGCCTCCCATGACCTGGGCCCAGGGCAGGTGGCCCTCCTCCCAAAAGAGGGCGGGATTACTCTGGGGAGCCCCTGGGGTCAAGCTGGGCTGGTGGAGACCTCCAAGCCTCCCCAGGGCTCTGAAGAGAAGAAAGTCCAGGAATGCTGCCACCTGACGGCCCTCACAGCAGGTCGGTGGAGAAAGGTCCCTGGCTGAGAAGGGACCAGGCCCCCCCACCCCCCATGTGGGTTCCTACCAGTGCATTCTTTTCAGAGGGAATTCTAGACAAGACCTCAGGCTGCCGGAGCAAGAGGAGGGAGCCCCGGGAGGTGGGACAAGTTGGAGCAAGGCTCCCTGTGTGAGGAGAGTGGGGCCCCACGGGCAGCTGGGGAGGGAGCCTCATGATTTTCTCTCTGATGCTGAAGGCAGGGGAGGCGTGATGTGGGGTGCGGGTTGCAGGGTGGGTGTACTTCAGGGAGCCACATGGGAGTGGGGAGGGGCTGGCCTGGAGGAGGCTGAGGGGGTTGAGGAGGGCCCCAGGGCCCTGCTGGATGTGGTGGCTTGAACGGTGGGTCCTAATTCCCTGCACCTGTGACTATGACCTTATTTGGAAAAAAAGGTGTTTGATGTAATTAAGTTGCGGATCTGGAGATGAGATCATCTTGGACTGTTCTGGTGAGCCCCAACTCCAATGACTGGTGTCCTCACGGGAGACACGCAGAGGAGAAGGCCACGTGGCCACAGAGGCAGGGATTGGAGTGGCGCCGCCACCAGACGCTGACGGGGGCACTGAAGTGTCCTCTCCTGGAGGCTTTGGAGGGAGTGTGGCCCTGCTGACACCTTGATTTCAGACTTCTGGCCTCCAGTGACAGTATGACTTCCTGTTGTTCTAAGCCTCCCAGTTCGTAGTTATTTGTTTCCAAAGCCCTAGGACACCAATACAGGTGAAAACAGGCATGTGACACACATGCCTGCACCACGGGGCAGCACCTGGATGGGAAGGTGGGCCCCAGGCTGGCAGGTGGGCACGCAGGGAGAACAGGAGAACAGGCTGCCTGGTAGCCTCGGGGTGCACAGGAGGAAGGCCTGCAGGGGTTACAGGCGACAGCAGGTGGGGGGAAAGCCTGCAGGGAGGAGGGCGGCTGGAGCTCTCAGAGGGGAGGGTTGGGGCTCCCGGTCCGGGAGGAGCATCAGGAAGGGCACGAGCGGGCAGGGCCTGGGAGGGGGTGTGGGAGCGGGCGCTGAGGAGGCAGGGGGGGCCCCAGAGCTGAGGACTCCTGGGAAGGAGGCTGTTGCCCCCAGGGAGAGGCATGGCCTGAGGGGGTACCCGCCTTGCCAAACTGGTTAGGCAGACACTTCACAGACAGCATCCCTGGAAGGCATTGGTAGGAGCGGAGGCTTCCTGAAGCTCTGTGCATACCTCCCATACAGGTCACACAGGTCTGTGAGGGACTGTCCCCATTTTACAGGTGAGGCAGGCGAAGGCGCCGGGCTAAGCAGCCACCAAGGTCCGTTGTCCTGCTGGTAGAGGCCAGACTCTGGCAGGAAGCCCGGAGCCCTAGGGCAGAGCTGGCCCGCTGGGAGCACGTGCCCACTTGCAGGAGGCACAGCATCAGCTGGGTGGGACCTGCCGCGGGCTGCGGGGCTCCCTCTGCTTCCCGGCCTGCCGTGGGGACTTCTGTCCCTCCCACTGGGCTCCGTGTCCATTCTGTCCCTGCCGTGGCTCAGGACCCTGCTGAGCCCAGCTTAGCAGCACCAAGCCCTCCCTTGTTTCCTGCCTGGCTGAGACAGTTTGCTCTAAAAGCTGCTCTTTGTCCTCCTTTTTTTTCATAAAACCTGCTTTTAATCAATTTTATAATAAAATCCAAACTGAATTCTTGAAAACAACAGCAATGAGAAAAAAAAACCTCAGTAGCAACTGTGAGTGCCCCACCCTGTCTCCCAGAGGCCCTGCCTCCTTGCGCCTGCCGCTGCCTGCCCCCTCCTTGAAGACCCCCCTGCTGCTGGGCTCCTTGTCTCTGGAGAGCCCTTGTCCCCTCCTAACTGCCATCCCTTCCCTCCTCCCATTTCCCTCAAGCTGGCCCCCAAACCACCTTCAGGGGTTTGCTCTGAAAAGTAACTCCCTCAGTGTCCTTTTCTCAAAATTCATAAGGGACTCAAGCCTCCCTGGAGGTAGAGCCTAAATCCCTTCGCCCAGCTTCCAAAGCTCCAGCGTCCTGTCCCACGAGCACCAGCCCCATGCCCGGCTACACAGCCAACCCCCTGTCTTTGCATATGCTGGACCCTCTGCTGCGGACACCTTTCCTCCACTTGTCCATCAGGCTAATTCAACTCAATCCTCCATCATACCAAGTAGCTCCCCCTGATCTCTGAGTCTCTCCTTTCCTCCCCGGTCATGACTGTGGAACTCATTCATTTAGCTGATACGTGCCAAGTTCCTTGCTAGGCCCTGGGACATGGTGGGAAATGGTACAGACTTGGCTTTGCATCCTCAGAGTCTGTTATACCTGCTGCTGGTGTCCAGGTAGACTGTGAGTCCCCCAGAGAACGTACCACCTGCGTGCACAGAGCCGAGCTCGGTGTCCATTCACCTTGTGTCCTCCTTAAATATTTGTTGACTGACTAACCAATCACATGAATGCATGAATAACCATAACCCTTTCCCTCCTCACTGTCTCCCTGCTCCTGGGTGGGGCTGTGTTGGGTTCAGCGTTGAAGCACCCACGCGCAGTACGTGCTCAGTTCTAGGACACTCTGCTCCCTGGGGAGAGGGAGGAGTCTGTAGGGAAGGGACTATGCCAGGTGAGGAGACAGTGCTCCTGGCCATCAAGGCTGGGGGAGCCGGGGAGTCTCCAGCCCTTTCCTGCCTGCCCCCACGCTGTTTCTGAATTCCTGGGGACAACTGTCCCTGTCGCCAAGGACTCAGCTTAGAGGAGGCGGCTTTGGGAGAGTGCCCCACTGGGTTGTCCTAGCTGGGCCCTGCCCACCCTGACATCCAACGCTCCCCTGGGGTTCTGCCCGGGATCAGGAGCAGTGAGGGCCCCACACCTACCACCTTCCTAATGCTGTCTTATCTCCTTTCTTTTTAAAATGGTATTTTCACGGTTTTGGTGGTGGTGATGGTTGCTACAAAAATAGTGTATGTTTTAAATATAGTAATTAAAAACATCTAACAATTTAAAATCTAAAAAAACCTAGAAATCTAACAATTTAAAGATCACACAGGCTGCTTGAACAATGAGCTGCCCCCTGCCTTTATTACTTACCAATATGCCTTGCAGATTGTTCCATGGATAGCCTTTTCGTAGCTACATACGATGCATTGCGTTGCACAGACAGACAAGAAGAGCTCCGTGTCCCTTCTCCACTGGTGGACATGATAGGTTCTCTGCAGCTACGATGTTGCCGCGAAAAGCTTACATACAGTCACCCTTTCCCTTGTGTGTGATGTCATCTCTAGGGTAAGTTTCTAGACGTGGAAGTGCTGAATGAAAGCGGACACGTGTTTATATGTTTAATGAGTGTTACCCAATTGCAGGAGGGTGCCTGTTCCCCTCCCACCCTTGCAAATAGTATGTTACTGAACTTTCTTGTCTCTGCTGATCTGGTAAGTGAAGAATAGTATCTTTAGAGACAGAATTTTTGTTTATCGTTTTAAGAGAGATACTGAGAATTTTTTCACATGTTCAAGGGCCCCTTTGAATCTCCCTTTCCATGAACTGTTTCTTCATTTCTCTTGCCCATTTTCCACCATTTGAAGAAGTCATTGTTGATTCTTTTAAAAAGGATTTGTGGAATCATTTTCATCACTTATGTATTCAAGATATGTATATATAAGTGCCTATGTTATGAGTTGCAGTCTCCCCCACTTCCAGTTTAAAGTTATCTTTTTGACTTTGCTTGTAATGTTTTTTGCAATGCAGAAATTTTACTTTTTTAGGTAGTCAAATTTATCAATCTTTGCTTTAGAGGCTTCAAGTTTTGCCTGGTACTTAGAATGGACTTCCCCACTCGGGGATTTTTAAAAAAAATTTCTCCCATGGTTTCATTCAGTTGTTATAAAACATGATTTGCTTTTCGTGGTGAGGTAGTATTTCCTCACATGGGAGGACCACAATTTATTCAACCAGTCACCTAGAGCTGAACATGTGGGCTGTTTCTGATTTTCCTGAATTACAAATAATACTGCAGTAAAAAGCCTTGTCCACAAATAATTTAATTTCATTAGGCTTGCTTTCTCAAAGTGACCTTCATTCCTGTCCCCAGACTGGCCTCCAGAAAGG